AACCTTCTGGAATATTTGAATTAGTTCAGCCATTGTGTTCCTGGTTGTTTTCTTGAAACGGGTTTTAGTCACAGGTTTTTTAATAGCATCAGCCCTTCCCTTTTGGATTGTCTTCCCTCCCCCAGGAAAGCTGGAGCTCCCTGGATCCCCCATTCTCCTGCTCTCCTCTGGAGACATTCCTGCAAAACCCAGCCAGTGAAGAAGTGGACGGAACAAATTTTAAAAGCAAACCCCATAATTTTATTTAGGAAACAAAGATACATTTAAAATAAAAAGGTGGGGGAAAGCAAACATTTTGACAAATTAAACTCCCCCCCCAAAAAAAATTACTGCAGATTTACAAATTTCAAACTCTTTGCTGTAGAAGCTTTATCTTCTCTTTCCTGCTGAGTTAAGTCTCTATTTTTTTAACTTTTTGCCTCACAGCGTGTTATTATTAGCACAACAGCAAAATGGATTTTACGCTATGCTGACAGACAACTGCAAGGAGAAATAGCGCCAGAATCAAACTGAACTCATCAACTGGATTTTGAAACACCACACATTTCCTTCAGCCGCACCCACAGCCCCACTTGGAATGAAATTTGGCCTAAATTACAAGAAATTACAGAGTTCTTTATCTGAGATCTTGTAAAGCACAACATCATTTCGCTCAGGGGATGATGCTGGCATGAGAGGTGTGATGGAAAGGGCTGTGAGACTGGAGGTGTCTGACTACACCAAACTGTGACTTCAGAAAGAAAATAATCCCTGATGAACACGATAAACCTGGGAAGTATTGCTGAAGTGAAGGATTTGCAAAGAGAAAACACAGAATGAAAAATGCATCGTTCCTTTCCCAGCTCAAACTGACATTTAGGTTAAAATTCACAATCCCCCCGATGTGGATGGATGATGGATGGATGACGGACGGATGGATGGATGAATGATGGATGGATGGATGATTGATGGATGATGGATGGATGGATGGATGACGGATGGATGGATGGAAGGATGGATGGATGATGGATGGATGGATGGATGATGGATGATGGATGGATGGATGGATGGATGGATGGATGGATGGATGATGGATGATGGATGGATGGATGGATGATGGATGGATGATGGATGATGGATGGATGATAGATGGATGGATGGATGATGGATGGATGATGGATGGATGGATGGATGGATGGATGATGGATGGATGATGGATGGATGGATGGATGGATGGATGGATAGATGGATGGATGGATGGATGCATGGATGGATGCATGGATGGATGGATGGATGGATGATGGATGGATGATGGATGATGAATGGATGGATGGATGGATGGATGATGGATGGATGATGGATGGATGGATGGATGATGGATGATGGATGGATGATGGATGGATGGATGGATGGATGGATGGATAGATGGATGGATGGATGGATGGATGGATGGATGATGGATGGATGGATGGATGATGGATGGATGGATGGATGGATGGATGATGGATGGATGATGGATGATGGATGGATGGATGATGGATGGATGGATGGATGATGGATGGATGGATGGATGGATGGATGGACGGATGGATGAATTTCCTCCATGCAGAAAAGAATTTATTCTGTCTCAAAATCCATTCATGAGATTAAATTTCTGATTCCCTTCTGCCAGTTTTCCGTTTCCTCAAAGAACTGCGCTTTGCCAAAGCTCTGGATGGCCAAAAGTTGAGTTTGGAACAGCTTTTATCCATCATCTACAAATGGTTTAAATCTCTCCCTCACCTGTGCAAGACTGGAAATTGGAATTTAATACAGCTCTGGAGAAAAGACATTACAGGAATATGCAGGTTTTTTTGTTCCTTAAGACTTGGTTTCACAATATTAAATTTACAGAATATTTAGGTTTAACAATATTAAATGTAATTTAGTTTATTATAGAATATTTAATCAAATACCTGTGTGGATCTGACCATTAGTGAGCAGTGTATGAATACACAAGACAGGAGAGAAAAATTCTGATTTTCAGTGCTTTTCTTCTCCAAGTTTAGCTCCAGACCACGTCATAAAAGATCTCTTTAATCCTGCCACGTTACTCATATTCAGCAGCACTCCAGATATTCCTGCACACTCCAGATCTATTTTCCAACAGGAAAAAGGTGGGACAAAACAACACTGCTCCAACAAAATCAAGCAAATTCCATATATTTCTATACATTAATTATTATTAATGGAAAATGAAAGTTTTCAGGCAGTTAAATCCAACCTCAGAAATATCCCTGGGTTTTATTTCCAAGTGAAATTCTATTTTTACACTGCCCAGTGCAGACAGGCACAGATGCCACAGAATTCCATTTCTCATTCCAGCCAATAAAACAGGAGCTGTTCCAGACAACACCAACAAGAACCTACACGATTTCCACTTGTCCAGGAAATATCATGTTCCCCTCTAAAATTCAATTTTAGGATCAAGGCCCACACCAGAAAGATTTGCTGGGAGGGTTGGCAGGAAGCTCTGCTTCAAATCCTAAAATTCAAATCCTAAAATTCAAATCCTAAAATTCAAATCCTAAATCCACCTAAACCTGCTGAAGCCTGAAGTGGCCGCCTGGGATTGGGAAACCCAAAGGTTCTGCATCACACAGAATGTTCTTCACATCCAGGGAAAATTCAGATTTCAGGGACAAGAGCTGAGCTCCTAAAATCTGCTTTTTGAACCCAATTCTGATGGCTGTAGCGAGCTCTCCCTTCACTTCTTTCCTCCTCAGGGCCTTGGGTGATTTTTCCAGCTGTTTGGGAGGAAAAATGGATTTTAAAAAACCCAGACCAGCTCTCTGTCCCTTCCTGGTTTATTTCAGGTAGTTTTCCCAAGTTATGAAGGGTTTGGGATCGTGCCTGTGCTGATGCAAACCCACATTTTGTGCTGAAAGTAGAGGGAGAAAAGGGAAATTACATTTCTCTGGTTTTATTTTGCTCTCTGGGTCCAAACAAAATGTCCTTTACCTTCCTGGAGCAGAACTCTTCACCAGGACAGCATTTCCTACAGGAATAACTCTCTAACTGACATGAAAATATCCTTGGAAGCTCCTTCCCTATGGATCCACACCACAGGTTTCCTACAACAACACAACACCAGAGCGATTCTTTTACCATCACATTCCCAAAAAACAAGAAAAACTCAGGAATCATGGAATATTCCAGCTGAAAAAGGCCTCTAATATCACAGAAACACCCCGAGATCCACCAAAAAATCCTTCTGCCACCACTTTAGGGCAGGAATTGTGCTGGAATTCCAAAAAAAAACCCCACACAGAGTCACTCCTGGTGGGTGCTGGCAGAGTTTGAGGTGTGAAGTTTCTCCCACTGCTCCTTTTCTGATGTAATCTCTGCCCCATGTTCACACCAGCTCCCTCCTCCAAGGAAATCCTTGAAATCCCAAACAAAATCATCTCCTGGAATGCACCAGGAAGGGCTGGGAGTGATCCCACACCTCATCCAGGGAGCTGCTGCTGAAGAAATGAATTTAAAAATCAATTGTGGCCAGCAGGGTCTAAATATCAAACCCACAGAGAGGGAACTTTTTATCCTGAAGCTCCTCAAGTCATTCCAAGCTCTGGGAATTGCCATTTTTTGAGGAATAAATTCTGAATTCAAGTCCTTATTGAAAATATAACTTTAAAGGAGGTCTTACCTATTTTATATATGATAATACATACATATTTAAAAGCAGGTCACTTTTTAGCTCATGTTATTGTGATGTTTCTGTTTATTAAAAAGACTCATTAGCATCACAAATGGGATGGAGGCAGGGGATGAGTGAAATCCTGATTGCTGTCAAGTCAATAAAGCATTTCCGACAGGAATAACTCTCCAGCTGACATTCAAATATCCCTGGAAACTCCTTCCCTGTGGATCCACAGCACACCTCCCCACAGAGCACCACCAGCAGGACAGAACCAGATCTGAGCAGCAAATGAATGAGAGGTGAAGCCCCCCAAAGACGGGAAGGTTCAAAAAGAACATCCTTGAAGACTCCTGAATTATTCCTGCACTGAAAATCAGAGGTGAGCACTGTGGGGTGACAGAAAACAGCGAAGAGAAAGGCAGGATGGGATGGATCCATGGGACAAGTCAATAAAAATATGGACACAAGGGTCAGGACAAATTAATTAGTGGAGAATATAAAAAAATGAGCTGAATCAGCACATTTTAGAGCTTTAAAGCCTTTTTCAGGTTTTTTTTTTTAAAGCCTGGAGGGTTCTACAGAACAAAATTACCCAGCCAGTGGAAAGCTCCCCCTTCCACAATGCCAGGGAAAGATAGAGGAAGCAATAAACTTTATTACAGAGGGGGAACAAAAAAAAAAAGAGGTTCAACAACCTTTTGAAATAAGAGAACTTTACACTGCAATTCTGGGCCCTCACTTATCCACCATGAATGGAGTTTGGGGAATGAAAAGGGGCAAAAACCAGAGCCAACATTCCTGACCAGTTCAGGTGCTGTTTAATCACTTGAATTGTCAGGATAAAGGGATGCTGCTCCAGCAAAACCTCCTCTGCGCTTCCAGGAGTATTTCAAACGTTCCCAAGGAAATATTGGAATGCCTACAAAGGAGTGGGTGCAGCAGCTGAAGGGAACAGCTTGGAAAGTTGTGTGTCTGCTCCCTTCTTCTGCCTCTGACAGAACAGAATTCCATCCTTTAAAATATAAATTTCAGATATTAATTCACTCCCTCATCGTCTCCCCAAATCCTCGCTCGCTTAAGGTCATTTAAGGAGAGAAACACGGCACATCCCAAGGAGATAAAGGATGATAAAGGTGTTTTTAATGCAAAAATTAAAGGTTTTTAACAACAAACCCAGGCTTATTCAGGATGTGTTCAATGTCCCTCAAATCCTTTCAGCTGCAGGGAGGGACCCACCTGGATCTGCTGATCCAAAAGGTGCAAGAGGAGGCCAAGAGCACGACGCTAATAATTTGGTTTTTATCCAAACCGCTCTGAAAAACCCCTGAGATATTCCACAGCTTGGAATTCAGCAGGGCACCACCCCATCCTCCAGTTCCACCCCAAAAATTGTGTGTGAGAGCCTGGACTTTAATTGGAATTATTTATTAGAGCCTCCTGGAGTGGATTACGGGTTGGAAACGGGAATTCCATGGATGTCGTTAGGAAAACACAACAGGGAGAGTTGGGATCTCAACCCTCAGGCTTGGGAGAGAACTGGGAATTTCCTCCTCCAGGATTAAATATAAATCATATAGTATAAATAAATAAATAATATAAATAGAAACAAATATTAAATATAATATAAATCATGGCATTTGGGTTGAGAGGGACCTTAAAGCTCATCCCATTCCACCCCTGCCCACCTTCCACTATCCCAGGCTTCTCCAAGCCCCACCCAACCTGGCCTTGGACACTTCCAGGGAATATCCCAAATTTCTGCATGTTTTATGCAGAATTAAAAATTCAATTTGCAAAATTCAACCACGAAAACACAGCAATTATTACGCCACCAACTCCACAGCCATCCTTCAGTTCTCCCTATACAAACCTACAGAGGGATAAACAGTAAAATTTATAGGATGAAATCTATTTGGGACCTGTTGCTCATCTAATGGATTTACAACAGTCCCAAAAGCCAAAATCCCATTAAAATATTCGTCAGCTTATTCCAAAGAACTCAAATCACAGTCTGCACCACCACAATAAATAATCATGGCAGGAAGGATTTTTAGGTAAAAAAAAGAAACTCATTGGCCACCAAGAGAATAAAACGTTCTACTTTCCCTCATAGGACAAAAAATGAATCTAGAGTTTAAAAAAATTCATGTCTATTTTGCTTTTTGCAGCCATCTAAGCATAAAAATACCAATTTTTCCTGGGCCAGAGTGAGGAGATGCTGGAGCAGGGGTAAAATTCCTCCAGCTCTTATCAGACACTGCAGAAACAGCACAAAGTGCTGGGGAAAGATAAAGTTCTCTGTTGCTGCTCTTATCAAAAATGGGGTCAAAAAGTTAACTCAGGCAGGGTTTTATGGCTTAAGCCCCTAAGAATAAAGCCAAATTTGGAGACAAAAAAGGGAGCACGTGAGAAGTGAGGCAAAGCCAAGAGATGAGAGGTGGAAAGAGCTGGACCAGCTGAAGCGAGAGCAGATGAACCAAAATAATCGGGGTAATCAATAACGGGGCACGAGGAAATTAATTAACTCCACAGAAAGAATTCCAAAGGCAAATGAGTAATTATCATTATTCATAACAAGGTTTAAGTGCTCTCCAAAAAGTCAATACCAAGCAAGGGAAAATGTCCATTTATTACCAGGCTAAGACTTGGAATTTCACAATTTCCCACCTGCAAACATCTCCCATGCAAGGCATTTCCCCCAAATCCTTCCCATTTTTCCTACATTAAGGAATAATTTCACACCTTAAATATATTTAATCTGTGACAGACTAGGATGTAACAGTTGGCAGCCAGAAATGTTGTGTTTTTATAGATACACAATGAATTTTACACTTAATAACCTCCAAAAGAAGCCGATTTAGTGAGAAAAAAGTCAAACCCTAAGTACCAGGCCCCGTTTCAAAATCCAATATATAATTTAGTGGGATTGTGTCCATTCCCATAGAACAGAAACAGCCAGGATTTATCCAGTCAGTGCTGAAATGAAAGGAAAAGAGAATGTTTTGTCCATGAAAAATGAGGAGCTGCAGGAATTCCCACAGAACAGAAGGAAAAGCATCCAGGTGATGATCACAAAGTCCCTTATTGACAAACCAGGATGAACCATAATCCAGTTAGGGCTGGATTTACACCGAGGTGTAAATCTGGTGTAGAGCTGGGCCAAAACCAGGCTCTTTCTCCATCTTTACCACCGTTCTGAATAAAAAACTTTAGGAAATAAGTGGCATCTCCACAAGCTCCCCTCACTGTGACACCCCAAGAAAGAGAAATTTTCTTGTTGTGATCATCTCCTGTCCCTGTTTGATAAATTTCTCCGAGCTGGCAGAATTCCCTGACCCTGGAATGGCTCCAGAACCAGGAGAGCTGTGACAGCCTTTGCAGCCATCTGGCCTCTCTTCAAAGGTTTGGAAGGGCAGGGTGGGGAAAAACAGGGTGGAGTGAATAAAATAATCCCAATTTAATTATAAATAGAGCTGCAGAATCCCATCCACGTGAAATTCTCCTGCTTTGTGCCACAAGTACCTCCCGGGCTCGGAAAGCTGGGACAGGAAACCCTTGGCACGAGGAGTGTTCCTCTTGCTGGGGGAATTTTTGTGTTATTTTGCTCCAGGTTGGAGATTCTGGGCCTGGAATGAGACAGGGAGATGGAGGTGTGGCTGTGTTCTCCCAATGCCCAAAAAATCTCCTTCCTTTCTTACTTGATTTGTGGTTTTTTGGGGTCTTATCCATCATTTCTCTTCATTCTTCTTGCTCTCCTCGTTATTATTGTCAGATCTGTCTGTTTTATCCCCTCCTTTAAGGAAAAGTGAGAGGAAAGAGCAGAAATCAGGGGTGGAAGAGAAGGAAAAATCAAAATGAGCCTTCAGAGAGTACAAATCACAGCAGAAGTGTCTTTCAACTGAATTCTTCAAGATCTCACTCCCTTTGCCAAAGGAAAAGCTCCCCTGGAATTCCCTGTAAATCCAGAATTTTGTGTTAGCTATTTCCTCTATTTTTTGTGAGCCTCAAAGAAATCTGATTTTATAATTCCCTATTCCAGCTTGGGTTTAGGGTGACCCCTGACATCTCAGCAGGAAAAGAATAAATTAATAAATGGAACATGGAATAAAGAGCAAAGATCACTGCAGCCACTCTGCAAAACAGCAGCTAAAGGTGCTGGACAAAGCTGCATTTACTTAAAAAATACATTAAATTACTCCTTCAAATGTTAACTGCTATTCAAACATTGAGAATTGTCACAAATAACACTAATAAAGGGCTCAGCTGATCACTGACTGTGATATAATTGTAAATAAAGCCCCAAAAAAGCCCTTTATCAGACATTTTTGATTGAATTGAAAGCTACTACTGCTTGAGTGAAGACATTCTAGGAAGTGTTTGAAATCACAAAGTGAGGCAATTTGAGTTCTCCACAATTCCCACTCG